GCAAGGTGCTGTAGCTTAGCTGGTCAAAGCGTCTGTCTTGTAAACAGGAGATCCTGGGTTCAAATCCCAGCAGTGCCTCAGTCTTTCATATGACTTCTTGTTCTTCACACAGGTAACTCTTGTGCTTTAGCTATAGAACAGTCTGTTGCTCTCTAAACAATTATTTGTGTCCCAAATCTTCAAGGATAATTTTCTTTTAAGTGTTTTATTAAAAAGATTACAAAATAATGGTGGCACGATGGTGTGGTGGTCAGAAGTAGTCTGGCGCTGTGAGAGACGGCTGCCTCTCCAGTAGCTCTCTAGTTTTTTACTTCTTTTAACTCCTTTAACTTTTTTAAGTTGCCTCTTCGAAGATTTTACTCTTTTGAAAAGTGGCTGTGTGTACTCTTTATTTATTCGATGGACAATTCCGACCTGAATTCGCAACCAGGAGACTTTTTTCTCACTTATACGAGAGAGGAACTGCTGGCCGTTAGAACAATGGGAAGAGCCGGCATAAGACAACATTCCAGCGGAGCTGAGGAGGATACTGAGGGGCTGCAAGGCTAAACTAAAGGCTGAACGAGCGGACAACCGGAGGCGCTACAAGCCATCGATTCCCACCGTAATCATGGGAAATGTTAACTCGCTGCTGAACAAGATTGACGAGCTGTCCGCACTGAACAACCAGCGGATCTACAGAGAGAGCAGCTTGTTCATCTTCACAGAGACATGGCTAAACCACCTCGTACGGGACGCTAACGTGAACCTGCAAGGATTCACCGCTGTGAGAGCTGACAGGGACACGAAAGCGACCGGGAAAAGAAAAGGTGGGGGAATCATCATGTACGTGAACAACCGATGGTGTAACCCGGGGCATATCACTGTGAAGTCTGTGTGGTGTTGCCGGGATCTTGAACTACTAGCCGTTAGTCTGCGACCATACTATCTGCCAAGGGAGTTCAGTCACGTGATCTGTATTTGTGTTTACATCCCACCAAGAGCGGATGCTGTCACTGCCTGCGAAAAAATCCACTCTGTCACAGCAAGGCTACAGACACAACATCCTGACGCTTTTGTGATCATTTCTGGGGACTTCAACCACGTAACTCTGGACTCTACTTTGGCTGTTTTCCATCAAGTTGTTGACTGCCCCACAAGGAATAACAGGACAATCGACCTCCTGTATGCTAATTTGAGGGATGCATACAGAGCAGCACCCCTCCCCCCACTAGGGAAGTCAGATCACAACCTACAGCCACTGTACACCCCCCTGGTCCAAAAGCAGCCTACAACAACTCGCTCCAGCAGGAGGTGGTCCCCTGAGATGGAGAGTGCTCTGAGAGACTGTTTTAACACCACGGACTGGGATGTACTGTTCAACCCGCATGGCGAGGACATAGATGGGCTGACACACTGCCTGACGGACTATCTGAACTTCTGCGCAGATGTGGTCTCCCCTGTTAAGACAGTCCGCTGTTATCCTAATAATAAGCCATGGGTAACGCGGGAAGTCAAAACTCACTTCAAACCTGATGAAGACGTTGGAGCGGCCCTTCCTCGGCTTCCTTAGACCTCAGGTGCAACATGCTCAAGACCCCCTGCAATTCGCCTACCAGCCAGATGTCGGTGTGGAGGATGCCATCCTCTACCTGCTGCACCGGGCCCACTCCCACCTGGATAAGGGCAGTGGCACAGTGAGGATCCTTTTCTTGGACTTCTCCAGTGCCTTTAATACTATCCAGCCCCTTCTGCTCCAGGACAAACTACACAGAATGGGAGTGGACCCGCACCTGGTCACCTGGATCCACAGTTACCTCACCAACAGGCCGCAGTATGTCAGGCTGAAGGACACCATGTCTGACACTGTGGTCAGCAGCACAGGAGCCCCCCAGGGCACAGTGCTGGCCCCTCTTCTCTTCACCCTGTACTCCTCTGACTTCCACTACAACTCAGAGCTGTGTCACATACAAAAGTATGCTCATGACACAGCCATAGTTGGATGCATCAGGGATGACAGAGAGGAGGAGTATCGACATCTGGTGGGGGACTTTGCCCTTTGCTGCCACACAAACCACCTGGAGCTCAACACCTCTAAGACAAAGGAGCTGGTTATAGACTTTGGGAGGTCCAGACCAAAGCCGACACCAGTAGTACTAGAGGGAACTGAGGTGGAGGCCGTGGACTCCTACAAGTACCTCGGGGTGTGGTTGGACAGCAAACTGAACTGGTCAAAACACACCAGCAACCTGTACGGGAGGCCAGGACACTGAACAAACTGATGGACATCATGGCCGACAGCAGCCACCCTCTGCACACCGTCATCAGCAGCCAGAGGAGCCTGTTCAGTGACAGACTGCTGCTTCCCAAGTGCCGGACCAATAGACTTAAGAACTCTTTTGTCCCCCACGCCATCAAACTGTACAACGCCTCACTGGGGGCGAGGAGGTGACACAGGACAGGGGGAAGAGATATCACATACACTGTACTTAATCTGTATTTTTTGTATTTTTATTTATTTATTAGTATTTCTTTGCTTAATTTAATTCTAACTTGATACTTTTTGCCCTTTAAGCTGCTGGTAACCTTAATTTGCTGAGGGAGTCTTCCCAAGGGATCAATAAAGTACTGTCTAAGTCTAAGTCTAATAAAAGGGAGTGACTTTATGCACAAAGACTGAATGTAAATACATGATTATACAGATATGTTAATCTCAGGAATATTGGTGACCAAGAAGATTTGTTAACATAGATGTGGAACTGAAGATGGTTTAAAAGACTTTTAGAACTGAATTAAGGAACTGAGTAAACAGAGTTTAAAGAAACTCAAGTTAAAATCTAGCAATGTTTTTGACAAAATAATGTTCAATAAAAGAAATGTGATCTGGAAGAAAAAACGAGTGGCATCCTGTCCTCACTTCTCCTCTTTCACCTGCTTAAAACCGGTAACATATTTGTTAATGTGGTCATCATACTTTGAGACCCGTAACAAATC